ATTTGAATGAACTTCCAAAAGGCAAACATTGTATTGGTTGTAAATGGGTCTACAAGATTAAATACAAATCTGATGGCACCATTGAAAGATATAAGGCAAGATTGTTTGCAAAGGGCTATACCCAAGAAGAAGGGATAGATTATTTTGATACATTTAGGCCTGTTGCAAAACTGACTACTTTCAGGTTCTTAGTCGCATTAGTTGCATTAAAGCATCGGCATGGTGCATCAATTAGATGCCAACAATGCATTTCTACATGGTGACTTACTTGAAGAAGTTTATATGCAACCTCCCACTGGCTTCTCTTTACCAAAACCCAATTTGGTTTGCAAACTGAGTAAAAATCTCTATGGTTAAACAAGCCTCGAGATAATGGTTTCAAAAGTTTACAAACTGTCTCATTTTTTATGGCTTTACTCAATCCATTGCTGATTGTTCCCTATTTTTCATGAATGCCTCTGGTTCTATTACAATTTTATTAGTCTATGTAGATGATATCATTGTTACAGGGAACAATCTAGATCATATCAAAGCCATTAAATCTCATTTAGATACCTGTTTTACCATAAACTGAAATACGAAAGATTCCTTTGAAGGGTTTCATTAAAGATCTAGGGCAACTTAAATACATTTTTGGTTTAGAGTTTGCTCACTCTACTAAAGGTATTCATATGTGTCAAAGGAAGTATGCCTTGGATATTCTTAATGATACAGGTATGATGGCTTGTAAGCATGCTCAAACTCCCATGGAATCCACTACTAAACTCAGTACTTCCTGCAATTCTTCTGATTTATTATCTGACCCTTCTTAGTATAGGAGATTAGTGGGCAGACTTCTCTACTTAACAATAAGTAGACCTGATATTGCTTTATCTGTTCAATCTTTAAGTCAATTTATATCTAAACGTACCCAGCAACATATGCAGTCAGCACACAGAGTGCTCAGGTATGTGAAGCAGACTATTGGTAAGGGACTTCTTTTCACTGTTGATTCTGAGCTATCTTTTACTGTCTACTCTGACAGTGATTGGGATTCTTGTGTTGATACAAGTAGGAGTGTAACTGGCTATCTTATTTTTCTTGGCAAATCCTTAATTTCTTGGAAATCCAAAAAGCAGCCAACAGTGAGCAGAAGATCTGTTGAGGCAGAGTACAGAGCGCTCTTGATTTCACTAGTTGTGAGATTCAATGGTTAGCCTCTTTATGTGAAGAATTGAAAGTACACTTATCCTCTCTTGTTTCTTTATTTACAGATAGCAAAAGTGCATTAGCCATGGCATCAAACCCAGTCTTCCATGAGAGGACAAAACACATTGAACTTGACCGTCATCTAATAAGGGAAAAGATAGCAAAAAGGCTCATTCAACTTCACCACATCTCAATAAAAGAGCAGTTGGCAGACTTCCTCACAAAGCCTCTTCCAGGCCCTATGTTTCAGCACCTTATCTCCAAGATTAACATGCCCAACATACATTGATATAACCCTATTGTCGCGGTCCGATTCGGTTAGAGGTTGCTCGACTAAAGACTGTAGACGATCCCACTAGGACGAGACAGGTGATGTCGACTCGGCCCATCAGATA